CCCTTGAGTCTATCATACAGTCTATAACCCATTATACATGTTGTAGGGGGACATGATATTTTCCATCCTCCTTTGACAACAGATGTTCCTCCTCTGAAGGTATAGACCCTTCCACAGTTGGAGTTTGTTCCTACGTGCCCTTCACAGTCGAGGAGCTTGTCCCCAACTGAGGTACCCGTGAGGTGGAGGCTGGAGGATATGTCTCCATTTTCTTCACCTATTTAACTTGGTCTCTCTCTAGACCTAATACCATGTTTTCACGAATCTATAATAGAGGATATCTCTCTTTCTCTATTGCCGACAACTCGATGTCTCTGTATTGGAGTTTTGAGCTTCTATATAAGGCTCAGCAGGTAGGTGGTGTCTTTTACCTTGCTCCTTGGCAGAAAGACTTAGATGGTCGCCCCTTTTGGAATGTTTTTTTCCTTTTCTGGAGGCAGTCCCGCTAGAATTGGTAGACAGAATTGGCAGGAATTCTTAAGCGTAGGTGCTGTTTCCACCAACCAATCCGCTGATTCTTGAGATACACAATCTATGAAGAGCATGCCCACCCGAAAGTGTATCCCCGCAAAAAGCAGCTGACCCGCATGTTGTGGACCGTTGCATTGCAATCCGCTTGCTACTACTTTGTCTAGTAGTGCCTCTTCTAGAGCCGTTTACGGGTCGGTGGTCAGAGCAACCTCTGGGTAACTCTTTGACAACACCACCCTTTTTACTTGTCCAGCAATAGCGGCAAAGCGGGTGATACATTCCTGCTTGCCTCCCGGTATTGGACAGCTTTCCATGCTGGTTTTTTTCTCACCTTGCCGGAGCAGAGATGAGAGGTTTTCGCTCCTTCTCTTGTCCTTTGGTGGAGATGCACTAAGCTGTTTTTTGGTTTCTTTTCTCTTCCCTTTTTCGAGGAGTGTTTTTACTTTTGCTTCCTCCGGAGCAAATCCTTCGTGGAGCAGTCGGAGGTATCTCCGTACTGCTGCTACTACAATGCGATACTACTATTTATTCTTTTTTCATTCTCCACTTTAGGTTTTGGAAATTTAATTTCGAGAAATGCTCGACTCGATTCCGGAACTATTTATAATAAGTACCTACAAATTTGTACGGAATCTTCGGTAGGCAAATCCGACTCGCACTTGTCCAGTTTTTATTAAGGTTAGCACATCAAAACCAAAAATTATAAAACAAGTAAAAGACCAATAATATGACTTTTTCATAAATGTTTATAATAACTTAAAGAGATATCTAAGAATACGGGAGATACGTTTATCCATTTAATTACATGACTTGTATTTTGCTGTTATCTGAAATTTATACTATCTATACATCAGCTTAAAGTACCACATTCGAGGTTTCCCATCGCCATTACATTATCTCCTAAACAAATTACCCCTCCATTGTTAATTTCTTTCGCTCAAATTACAGTAAAACTTTTTCGAGTCGGCCCAATTATCAGCTTATTATGTCAGTAAATAAACGGGCAACCTTAAAAATATGGGAACCCATTACACAAGCGTATCATTAAGCCAACCATAAAATTAAAGATTTCCTTAATGAAAATATCCTCTTAAATTAAATCTTGATACGGGCACGAATATCCGGAACATGTAGGTGGCGAACCTAAAATAACGTTTAAACTTTAGAGTCTTACGATGGCGTCCCAAATAGGCAGTTGAAAAAATCTCGCTAGGTGGGCTGTAAATGGAAGAAATTTTCAGTGAGCTCATTGTCTTGAAGACCTGCGTATGTTTAGAGAGGAACTTTCGAAACGCATTGACGACGACGGTTTGACTTTTATTTTACGAAAGAAAATCCATTGTTTTGAAATGTTTATTACTTTAAATAAAAATTGAATGAATAATGTATCGAACAAGAATGGATTTTAGTAATATGTCTGGTAGGAATATTGCCATAAAAAAGGAGATGATAGATTAATAGTTATTTTTTACACAAGACGATAAAATCGTATTTTGATTCTAATAATAATAATCATTTTATTGTACATCATAGATGATACCAGCCCACTTCGCTGTGTAAAATCATTTGGAATGATTTTCTTTATCTCCTGCAAAGTTGGTATATATTTCACCCTATGGTTTTAAAATCTCGAAATCCAGTATTAATATATTTCTCATTTCTGACATTTTTCTCAGTTTTGATAAATATTTTCGTTTGTTTTTAAGCATTTAGCTTTGGATTTTACCCCTTTCAATAAGTCTATTTATTCCATAAATTATTCGTCAAAAACTTGAAATATACAGGGTTGTTCACCATATACGACACAGAGTATTGTAGCTAAACGATTAGATTTTTGCAAATTGTAAGTTTTGGGTCCGTCGAAGGACTATTAGAGCTACAATTTAAAAATATTTTTACAATATGCAGTGTCCCAAATAAATATAAAATATCAAAGTTGTATTTTTTTTAATGGAACACTTTGTATATTATTACATTTTTAGTCTCTACGATTAAAATAAAGGTAAATTTGATTAAGGTTTACCGCATTTTTACCGATACTTTTACACTGAACGCGCGTTTCGCTAATCATGTTAGCATCATCAGCAGATGAAACTGAGTTTAATAGACCTCATTTATCAATATACCCCTGGAATATTGATATTTTAGAGTGTTTTTAAAGCAACAAATGAACAGGTGCTAAAAACGATAATAGTTAGGTTGTATACAAAAACAACATTATTTAAATCTTTATAAAAGAGTATATCATTAATTAAATATACCACCATTGTTTCCGGCCAAATATTAAATCATTACATACTTAATTGTGTTAGTTAATAAATTATTCTAAGTAAATCTGGATTTGAATCAGAAATCGATATAATAATAAGTTATGAAAATAAAGGTCTCTGTTGTTATAAATAAGCATTCATCAAAAGTTTGAATACTAGAATCATATTAATTTTTCCTCTTTAGCAAATATTTAAACAGTTTTTTTTAATTTTTTAATGAAATAAACGAACTAAATCCACAATATTAGTAGCTGTACTCTTTAAAAATTTATTACATCTTTAAAATAATCTAAAATGTCAATATTCCATGGGTATATTGATAAATGAGGTCTAAATTATAAGAATAGTGCATTTTCTACGAAAATTTGAAGAGATATGTAAAAAATGGTATGATATAATTTAATAGACAATTAAATTGTGCATCTGATTCTCCTAAAATATATAGGATGTTCCATTTAAATTAAACAAGTTATTGCCGTTTAAAGCTAAAAATTATTTAAAATAAATTGTTAGACACTTTGTATGAGGTAGTATTATTTTTATTATTGCAACACATTAACTGATCAATAAATAAACTTCAGTAAATATTTAGTATTAAAAACTTTGATAACCTTGGAGAAAAGAAGCCATAAATGTTTTACTGCAATTTCAAAAAATTGAAAATATTTCAAAAACGGTAAGGTTTAAGTGTGATAAACCGTAATCAAATTTATCTTTATTTTAATCGTAAAAACTAAAAATGTAATGATATACAGGATGTTCCATTTAAAAAATAGAACTTTGATATTTTTTATTTATTTGGGACACTCGATCTGTATCTTGTGAAAATATTTTTAAATTGTAGCTCTAATAGTCCTTCAACAAACCTAAAACTTATAATTTGTAAAAATCTAATTGTTGAGCTTCAATACTCCGCGTCGTATGTGGTAAACAACCCTGTATACGAACAAAAATTTTATCTAATTTTAGATCTGGTATTAAGCTTCATTGAGAACCACTAAATTAGTGGAATAAATTAGTGGTTTCAATCAACGCAGAAGTTTCTTCTTCTAATTTCAATTTAAGCATTCAGAACGTCAAAATTAGTGGTAGTAATTTTCAATTAGTAGAAAAAGTTAACAAACTTTTAACTGTTACCGCTAATTATACTTCAAAATTCGCGAGTAATGCCATCTTGGCTTGTCACGTCTAACCACTCTTTGAGAAATTGTGGTTAGAAATTAAATGTTTATTGTTATAATTTGCTAATTATTAGGCTTTCTGTCAATTGTGGTATAAGAGGACCTTCAGTTTTTAGAAACTTTTAGTCACTTTCGTCTTTACTTTCAGTTGTTTTTTAGTCTTAAGTCACGAATTCAATGCTAATTAGTAAAAAGGCTGAAACGAAAGCATGTTTGTCAAACATTTTTACCTTTTTTTGCTATACCTTGACTTTGTAACCTTTCGTTGACTTGAATTATGCAAATTACGATTTAAAACTTCTACTCCCTCTATCTTTCAGCCATAGTCCATAGTATAAAGTATCATAGATAAGGATTACGGTATACAAGGCTTTCCTCCTTTATGTTTGGCAAAGTAGAATAGGAAGTGATAATGAGCCCCTCGTGTAAAGATAACCGGATACTTTATGTTTTTGATACTTCAGAGGATCCGTCCGCTTTGTATTCTAATGGATCAACCTTTCTCAGACATTTTCGACTTGTTCATGATATAACATCTTGATAAATATTTAGAGGTTTATGTTTTAGTTTCAAGTCTTAGCTATTTCTATAGAGAGTTTATTATGTTAATTTATACTGTAACCAAAGAAATACCTATATTGAATTGCATCAATATTATTTGATTATTTTGAATAATTTCATTTCTCCTAATGATAAAAGTTATACAGGATGTCGCTATGAGAAGGGTATTATTAATAGAGCTAAAAGAACATATAAAGAAGTTTGAAAATTTATGAAAGTCTGAATACCGAATAGGTGTTCTCAGGATTTAAAAAAAATCGTGTATTTATAACCTTCTTTACTTTATCTCTATAAAATGTTATGGGCAACATATACTTATATGCTATATAATATGCTACATTTATCAATTCTAAATCGGATTCCATTGATATTTAAATCAGTGAAGTAAATAGAAGTATTTATTTCTTAAAGTCAAGTATTTATTTTTCAATGACAAATTTTAAGTGATTAGTCCAAATTTGTATTTTATAAATTTTAAACACCTTTAGATGAATTAAAGATCTTTTTGTTGTTTCAGCATGCGATTGTCATCCAATTGGAGCTTCAGGAAAGACATGCACTCAAGCCACCGGTCAGTGTCCGTGCAAAGATGGCGTCGTTGGCCTCACGTGCAACAGATGTGCCAAGGGTTATCAACAGAGCAGATCACGAGTTGCTCCATGTATAAGTAAGTAATAGTAAGAAACAGTAAACATCTTTGTAATATATGATTTCTTATTCTTTGTCGTGTATCTTTATGTTAATTGCTTTACAGTATTCAATGATTAGAGAATAGAAGGATTGAATTGTCTTGAAGTAAACTTAACACATTATTGAGTGTCACAATATTTAATAATATTTAATACTTTTTAACATCTTTCTTAAAACTGCCGTTACATATTTCTATAATATCTTTCTTTATGTTTTTTTAGAAATACCAATTGTACAAATGATGGCAACTGAAGAAGACGACGATGGTTACAATGAAGAAGATCCAGATGCGACATCATCGGGAGGTAAGTAAGTGTTTTAGGAATTTGAAAACTTATTACTTTTAATCAATAATAATATATTGTAAATATTTCTGTAAGCATACATGTATTCCACATTATTCCAAACAGTTTGATTTGTAAATTGTGCTTTACTCTTTTTTTATGTATTATTCAGTAAAAAATCATAATTTTTCACCGATGGTAGCCGATTCTCGAGGACCTCGAGTTAGTAGGAAAAATCAGTACTCCATTAGAATAGTCATAGTAACAATATTTATCTAACTTTTAAATCCATGAATCTTTTTTCAAGGTTAAAATATAATTTAGTTATAAAAATAAGACTTAATTGGTGCACAGTATGAATACCTTCCCCATTTGTTTATTTTTTAGTTCTACAAAAAGTTACTTTTAGTTTATCGTCTTCTTCATGTGTTTTCTCCTCATCGGAGGTTGGCGACTATTAACTGGAATTCCTCCCTGTCTTGGGCCAAACGGATAATAAAATTGCACTGGCCTTTCCTATATTAAACCACTGACGCGACCAGGGGAACCGTTTACGCCCAATGCCTTGTGCTTCAATCTTTCCCTCAACGATCAGCTGTAGGAAACTATATTTGTTATTCCTAAAAATATGACCAAAATATGCTGCCTTCCGTCGTCAGTTGTTGGTCCTTATTCGTTCTCTCTAATACTCTAAAATTTGTTACTCGTTCGGGCCATTATATTTTTAATATTCGTCAGTATAACCACATCTCAAATTAATCTAAGGGTGACATCTTTGGTAGCCCGCCATCGAGTACTCAGGTTCAAATCTCGGTTGCAGAGCAAGATTTTTATTTTGAAAAACGTGTTTCTGACTATGTCAATTCTACACTGTAAAAAATCAGCCTGAGTGAACACATATTTCTCAGGGAGTGAATTTTTTGAGTGAAATAATTGAGTACATTTTTATCTAAAATAGAGTAAATTCATCATTTTACTCAAATATGATCTCTATTTAATCAATAGCTATTGAATAAGTTCATGTTCGAGTTATAACCCCTATCTTTGAGTAATGGAATAGAAAAATTCACTTAAAAACTCATGTTATAGTTTTACACAATAAAAATTTGAGTGAAATCACCCAGTTTAGAGTATTTTCGCTCATTACTAATCATACGTCATACGCGCTTCTTCGATACCGAATAAGCTATTTCCCTGTTCCTCAGTTTTTAATTATCTGTTCGAGTCGTAGGTTGTCTTGTTCCTTCGAAGGTGCCCAGGTTACAAGTCCATAGTGTATGTGTGTGTGATGTAAAGTGTGACAGTGGCCGCGTGGCGTGGTGAAGCGAATACGAACTCATAACTCCTAAATATGTTTTATGTTAAGAACATTTTTTTTCACATCGCAGAAATCCGCCTAACATATATTCAAATTCGACTGCGTCTACTGATTGCCGCAATGCTCGGATGTTTCCTGGACTAATTAGCGTAGCGAAAATCTAGGTACTTTCCCTCAATCTGGAACTGGGAACTGGAACATTTGGCAGAATAACATTTTTTTTTAATTTTCAGGAGGAAAAGTATCTGGATTTTCCGGAGGATTTTCGTTATTAAAAGTTAGTTTAGAAATTAGAAATATTCGAGAATGTTGGTAGCCGAGCTGACGAATGCTCTTAATAAAGCGGATTTTTGCGATGTGATGCAACTTTTCTAGACATCTAGCTTAAAAAGTTCCTGTATTTTTTCCAAAAAGAGTTGAAAACTTTTTAAAATGTTTTTGATATTATAATAATAGTGTTATATTTGGTTTTATTTGTTTTTTTGTCAAATAAAAATGACAAATAAAAATATTTTTGAAGGTTCTACAGTTTTTTATTTGGTTTGTTAAAAAAAACGAAATATTCTAAATGATTTTTTTAAAAGCTATGTAAGCTAACTTGTTATTTTATTACAAGTGACCAGATGCCTCCCAAAAGTGAATTTTAGGAAATGGACATGTTCGAGACCATGTCCTAAACTGAAACTTACCTTTGAAAGGCACCTGCCCACCTGTTATAAAATAACAAGTTAGCTTACATATAGCTTTTAAAAAAATAATTTAGAATATATTTCTCAATACTGAGTGAAATTAATACTCAGATATGAGTACTAATCGAGTTAAGTGTAACACAAATTTGAGTAAAAGTCACTCAATAAAAGGTGTCTTGAACTCAACACTTAGTGAGTTCACTCATTTTAAAGTGAATAAATTATCAAAATCGATAAAATCCTACTCAAGGTAAACAATAATGAGTAAAAAAGGAGTCTTTCGTCTAATCTCGATTGAGTGAAAACACTCAGTGCTTTTCACTCTGAGAATTGAAGATTCACTCGGTTCTGTAGAGTGAAAATTTCACTCAATCGGGTGTGGACAGAAATTGAGAAAGTATTGAGTGAAATCTGAGTGAAATTTCACTCATTTTTTTTACAGTGTACGTCTTCATCGGGATCCCGTTTATAATTCAGCTAGCACCCCAAGTATTTAAATCTTCTTACCCTTTCCATATTTTCATCTTCTACTTGTATCCTGATATTTTCAATATTTAGTTTGCTGATGATCATAAATTTTGTTTTGTTTATGTTTATTTTGAGATTGTACAATATTGAATGTTTAGGAGGAGAGTTAATCACCGCGGCCTAAGAGATCTATTATGAGTTCTCCTTTCTCGAGTTATAACGAGTTATAACTCATCATACAGTTTCATGGCTTCAACAAAAGCCAGTATCTGAGACGGCTCCGCAGAGGTTCTCCATCCTCGGCATTATCCGTACCAAAGTTCATTATGGCACGAGCGTTTGTCGTCTTGGTGCACTCAGTGGTAAGGTGTTCTGGCGTTTCCCCATTTTCCCCACTTTGAGACTGTGACTCTGACTAATATTGCTAAATCTGTCCACCAGGCACCGCAATTTTTTCCCATTGTTAGCTACATATATACATACTGCCATTACTTGCTGACGAGTATTTGACACGCATCAGAAGATGGTCACGCAAGGCGTTTTCTTTCATGAGCTTTTCTGTGACTGAAGAGCCCGATACGTGATGTTATCTGTCTACTGCATTCCGGATATACAAAAATCTCGTTGCTTACCTTGCCTCTTAATTTTTTGGTTGTCGCTGTTAACTGAGTTTACAATTCTTCTCCATTGCGTTCTATTGTGAGCTGCTTCTTCCCAGTCACTCTGCATGTTAGTCCCTTTTAAATTTTCGTACCTTTTCGTATCCTTGTGTAACCTAACCTAAATTAACCTAACCTTTTGAGTTGTCCACCCGGCCTTCTCTTACAGTCTACAAGCTACAAGCTCTCCATAAAGCAGAGATTTTGATATGGACATGGTCATTACAGTCACCTAGCAAGATGATTCGTTCGTGCAAGTGAATTCGTTGGAGAACATTTTGTAGAGCTTGATAAAATTTATCCTTTGAGCTTGATAAAATTTTAGCGGCTAGGGTGGGAGTGTAGGCACTAATGATGTTGACGTAAGTTTTGTCTGATATGGGGTACCTTAGGGTCATAAGAAGTTCGGAGATACCAATAGGTACTTCTGTTAATTTTGTGACGATTTCGTTTTTCGGCTGATTACGACTGATTCCAATATAAGTTTCTAATGATTCTTATGTTTTTTTCTTGTTCTTTTAGTTTATAGTATACTAATTGTCATCCATCTAGATGAAATAATGTTATCGTTCCTTTAACCAATAGCACTTTAATTATAAAAATAAAATTTTTCAAAATTCAACCAATAAACCCAATTTTTAATAATTTAATACTTCAAATGTCAAACTTGACAGATACCCGTGACTAACGCGCATATTACTAATGCGAATAATAAATATCTGAAACATATATTGTCAAAATATATTTAACTTAACTATGTATAACTGTCTCCTCTATATTATCTACTACTCGATTCAACAGTGTGATAATTAAAGCCGAACTCGTAACCAAATTAAGTCCAAAACACACTATTTAGCTTAATTCCGAGCACTAATGATCATATTAGGAGCATACTGAGACTGTTACAGTCTCTAACCTCGCCGTAGAGCAGTTTGTTAATCTGGATTTGGCCGTAACCATTGCCATTCTCTTTAATAAGCAGCAGAAATCCTGCGCGATCTCAGATCCGACTAATAAGATAATCGAAGGAAGGCAGTGTGCTGGCTGTGTGTTATTTAATTAACCGATTAAATGCGAGGGGTAGCTTAATTTGCCTGCAGATAAATCTATTAGTGCAGCTGTTAGGGATGGGCGTTTTTTAAGTTACCCTTTAAAAAGGTTTATTAGCATTATTTGTTCTCTTTGAAAAGCTTATTGAAATTAACTGAACTTAAGAATTTAACAAAGCTATAAAGTTATCACACACGTCAAAAATAATAATTGAATAATGACAACAACTTTCAGTTAATACCAAATAACTAAAAAAAGTTAAAGTTATTTTTATACAGTGTCACAGAAAAAGTCGGCATCATATGGAACTTTTTTATTTATTAACTTGTGTGAAATTTGGGCGATAGTTTCTGCTTTGAGTTAGATAAATAATGATACAAGAAAATTTACTCTGTTGCCCTCGGGCCGGTATCTGTCAAATTTGACATTTAAAATAATACATGGGCAAAAAACAGGTTTTCTCTCCAAATTTCGAAAGACATTATTAGATTTTTTTTTGTAATTTTACATAATTATACCAGTTCTTAATCATCTAAATGAAATATTTTTTTCCTCATTTTTAACCAATAGCAGCCAATTCTCGTGATTGAAGCTAAACTAACGATTAGGAACCCGTTTGTTCTTCCCATATTTATCTAGTACTCATATATTTAATTCATTGTTTTGAATATACCCATAATTTTTAATGTTTAATTGAATATCTCTTAATTGTTCCAATGTTACCCTAAACTTAAGTGCTGCGTTTGTCCGTTAGAGGGCATGAAACTTTAAAAAAATAAACATTTTTTCAGATATTTTAAGAACCGTTATTCCGATTTTAATGAGATTTCGGGTGTT